TTAGCTCAGATAAGGTGATCAAATTATATATCTAATATATTTCATTATTTTTCATCCATTTGTAAGTTTCTAGGTTGTTTTTATGTACATTTCATCTATTACTTCTAGTGCTGGCATATTTACCTCTGATGAGCCCCTGGCCCATTTTGCCTATCTGCTGTCCCACAGTGGACACTGAGATAGCCACTTACCCAACTTCACCACATAAAAGAGCCCCCCTTGTGAGAGAATTTCTCTAGGACATATACCCAGGAGCAGAATTATGCTACAAAAATGCATAAACGTAATTTTGTTAAGTTGTGAAAGAACAAAAATTCAACCAAGTAAATTTAAAGATCAGCTTTATTGAATGATTCGTGTATCTTGCCGACTCCCATCTACCAGAGAAGTACTCAGAGAATTTGTACAAAATTGAAAGATTTTACAGGGATAAAGTTGATGGGACAAGAAAGTTATTAGCAAAACTAAAAAAGGATTATTTCAGGCAAGGGCACCTTTTGGGGGTAGATGGGCAGTAGGGGTTCAACTGTACTTACTGCCTTACTATAATCTCTTTCTTTTAACAATCTTAGAAGACTGAATCTAGATTTCCTTTATAACATAGGTAGATATTTAATGTTTTCCTTTCTGTCTCAGGATATTTTGAGAACATTTGTTAACTATTGATCATGATTTTTAGATGAGACTATAATATTAGAAGAAAAATTTCTGTCGATATTTCATCTTGAAAGTTTACATCTCTTCTCTTTTACATGTCCTTGCCTCAAGGATTAAATAACCAATTTTCTTAAAGACATTTGAGTTTCTTCTGTACGTGTTAATTTTCTTAACACAGGGATCCTGGGACAGAAGCAAAGAGCTTCTCCAGTCCCTGCTGGGCACTGAAGGAGCCCAGAGATTGAGGCATCCAGAGTCTGATGTCATTAGGTGCTGGGACTGGTGGTCGTTGTGAGGGGCTGGTAATACTTCTAAATTAATTTTCATGTGCACAATTAGAAAAATCAGGCTACAAAATCAGGTAGAATAAATGGAAAGATGCTGAAACTTAATACCAAGTGCGACTCTTTCTAGACCAAGAAGGAAAATTATCCAAGAGAAAGTCTTCGTGCTTACCCTGATTTCTGCCTCACCCTACTCACTCTCTGAGATCTGCCCAGATTTGAAGGCTGGCCTTGCTTGAGACCAAGAAATAGAATTCTTTTGCCACTATGCTAGAAACACCTCGCCATGTCCACTGCCTGCCATTGAGAGGGGAGATTTTTCCCTTAATTCCATGCTAGTACGACCTAAGGGTAACTAAGGATGGGAAGTGTCACCTTATCATTCTGCAGACCAATAATTTCACACAAGTCATTAAACAGCAGAGCACACGTTGTAGAGTTCACAGGCAATAGGAAGATGTCACTTAGAACAACAAATGGCATGCGACAACACTTTCAAGAGAAAGTTGTAAATCCCAGGACTGTGTCTAACTGGCACTCCCTCCCTCTGGCTCTTCTCTCATGCTTGCTTTGCTGAAGCAGGGTGCCGTGTGGCTAGCTGCCCTCTGCCGAGGCCCCCTTGGCAAGGAATTCAGGGCAACTCCGAGCCAACGTCAGGAAGGAACTTAATCCCAAATGAGTTAAATCGAGTTACACAGTTTTGTTGGAAGCAACACACCATTTTTATTGCATATATTTCTTTTTTTTTTTTTTAAGGTTATTAAAAGTTTAATCTCCTAAAAAAAAAAAATCCCCACATAAATTAAAACAGTGGCAGGAGCATTTGAGATTGTCTTCCCTGGCATATGTCATCAGTTTAGCTCAAATATACTCTTATAAAAATTCTCTACAGGTTTAGATGTTCCTTATGCTGACATTTACTTGGCGAGATTCTGAAGAAGCCCACCCAAGAGCACCTGCAGCCCTGAACCAGGTACTAGGTACAAGCGAGGGCTCATCGTGCCCCCTTGGCACCCTTGCGTCAGGTGAACTTGAGTGAGTACCCATATCTCCTTGTTCTAAGTAGCAGGCCATGACTTTATTTGAGCTGATCTTTGAAAATCTTCAGGTAGATAAGGATTGAGGTAATCCAGGGAAAGGAAAAAAAAAAAAAGGTTGCTGATTTTAATTTCGGCTTTTTAATTGGATTACTTGCTGAGAGTCTGAACAAAATCTTTGCTGTTTAAACAAGAGAGTAAACTCTGTTCTATCTCTGAAAAAGAAAGGACCTTTGCTTCCCCAACCCAAATAGCCAATGAGGATATTTGTTCAGACCCCCCAGATTCCAGAGAAGCAAAAGTGGGCGCTGGGGGTCAGTGCGGTCACAGCAGGCAATCCTGGAGAAGTTGAGGGAGACCTGGGGAGAAAGGCAGGGTGCCCTGAAATCGGTACACTCTGAGAGGGGCCTGAGAGAGGTGCCCATGCCTTGGAAAGAGTCACAGTTCAAGTGGCACCCTATAAGCTCTCATTGGCCCTTAAACGTGGGTATTCTTAGGTGACTAAGAATCCTTGTGCGGTTTCCTGAGGAAAAATTTCCTCCTCGGCATAGAGCAGTCCTGTAAGATATCCACTGCATTTGCCTGGTCTGGAGCCATGAAAGAGCTGGTTTTCCCTAGAAATTTGTTCAGACTGGGGATCTCAAAATTAACACGAGAAATTGTGCTTCCCAGGCCAACAAGGCCCACCACAAACAGCCTCCCATTTATAACTAGGATGCTTGAGATGAGGATCCTTTGATACTTCTAAATTAATTTTTGTGCACACAATTAGAAAAATCAAGCTATGAAATTAGGTAGAATAATAGAAAATTATTAGAGACTGTTTCTGAACTTAAAAAGGCCGCCTCCTCTAAGCTAAAATGAAACTATGTAAAGGATTTATATAAATGGATCAACCTATGGTATCATTTAGCTGCCAATCCACTCTTAGTTATTAAAAATAGTGGTCCTTATTTTCAAAAGAGAAAGGTCATTTGGAACTCAACTTGTCAAGGACAGATATAAATTGTAAATGCCTCTCAAAAATTAGATCCGTTTTCTGTTTCTGTCTGTCCGTGTGTCTATATATGTATGTTGTAAATGTGAGATAATTTTCTGTCTCCAGATGGTATAGTTAACTTAAATTTAAAGGCTAATACTTGTAAGGATTGAATATTCTAAAATTCTCAGAAATATAGAAACTAGCCCAAATGCTTTTCAAGTTCACAGGACCCAAGATTAATCCTTAGTAAATAAAAGTTACCTTTAAGTTTATTGGTTTAAGTAAAACAGCGTGTCTTTATATTGCCTGCGTTTTACAAAAATAAGTCCATATTAATAACTTACTTTGATGTCTATGAAATATATTTCTAGAGGTTATGTCTTAAATATATTTGTCAATAAAGCCGATGTTTCTAGATGTTCTAAAATGTCTTCGTAAATCTGCCAACCTAAAGAATGCTAATTGCTTACTTCTTAGTTTTCATTAGAAATTGAGGTTTTAAGGGTTAAAATCTCAATATTTGTTGGACTAACTTGTGGTGTTTCAGAAGGGCCATTGGAACATCTCAAAAGATTTGGAATTGCATGAGAAGCATTGTAAAATAAGTAATGAAAAACTTGTAGGGTATATTGTATGGGTGAACAGTGGCTGTAAATTAAATCATTGAGGCTATGGAAGGAACCATAGATGGTGCTTGGTTCTTCCGGCTCCCTGGCTTTTTTGATTTTTACATTCCTTCATGCATCATAGTGCACTTGAACTGAATATAAATTAGATAAAGGAACATATGAGCTGACACTATTGAAAAGAGACATCTTACACTATTGCCAGGGTTTGATAAAGTCACTTCAAGAAAATGCCAAGTTGGTAACCGCTTCTTCTCACAGCAAGCTCTCAGGTGACACTATTGTTTTTTGGAAACGACTTCAAATAAAAGACACTCTCCAACCTTGTTGGAAGGGACTTTATCAGGCACCTAACCACAAATGGACATCGATCCCTATCTCTGACACTCACCTCTGCCTATGATGGACATCAAAAACACCTCTGGGATGAGTAGCTGCTGACATCAGAGGTAGACAGCTATCCCAAGACGTTGACAAGGCCTATATATTGATATTGAACTCAGAAACCAATTTTTTGTCTTTACCTGTGATTATTAATCACAATAGTTATACATGTTCTTTGGGTTTTTCTATGTAGTCCAATTGTTTATGATTCCCAAACATGTATAATTATTAATACACTTTTTATGGCTTATGTAAATGTTACACTAGATGTCTAATACAGAAAAATTAGACAGAAGGCAAAACTCAGATCATGCTAGCTCACAGGATAGAAATGATCCAGGATGTTTTTTTGCAGTGATGGTCATTGAGACTTGACTGCTTTCTTTTTACCTGCCCATCCTGTGTAGAGAAAATTCAGCCTCAACTCAGATCCCATGGTTACAGTATTGCCCCATCCCCAGTGGTCAACAAGATGACGTGGATACTGAGATTTCCTAGGAATGAATCTTCCTAGTCCTGTGAGACCATGCTATTTGACCATAAGATTGGTCATCAATGCACACTTTGGATTGATTTATGAACAAAAAGGGGGAACTGTGGACAAAAAAAGAAAAGAAAAAAGCAATTCTATGAAAAGTAACCTCATCAGGTGATCTGATCATAAATTCCTAACTGGGCAGGTCATGGCAGGTAGTTCACACCCCATGCATATAACTTTGTAATAAAAGGGTTATCTTTGCTGTGCATTATTTCTGTGCATCTAGGTTAACTCAACTTTGAAATAAGCTGTAACCACCCTCAAGAGAGCACATAATCTTATTAACTATCCTGTAATCCAGTTCCTGCCTTGCTTTCTCCCACCTCCATGTACTCTTCCTTTATGTTCCCTCCTTAATTTCAAGTGCATGAAAGCTGCAAAACTTATTCTGTGGAGCATTTGAGATCTTGCTCACCAGCATATGACGTCAGTTTAGTTCAAATAAACTCATAAAAATTTAAGAAAAACAAACAAAAACACAAAACAATGACATAGATCTTTCACCAACCAAATTCAAAAGATATTGTGCATTGATTTTGCCAATAATCTTCACATTGTAGGGTAATACACATTTCACATACTGCAATTGGGACTATATTTGTTACAGTAATACAGTAATTTATAAAACACATATTCTTGAAAAACAAAACTAAGGGCAGCACATGGTACACACACATCTCCCCCCACACAATATAGCCACAACTTCTGCATACTTACAGCCAAAACTAAGAACTGAGAAAATAACAGTAAATTTGAATAATACTTTAAATCCAGAAAGAAATATATCCACTGGGTAAATTAAAGCATTTTATTCTGTAGCTACAAGATGTGGAATGAAAAAAGCTAGTTACATAAGGGTATGTATATTATTACTCTATTTTTGTGTTACATATTTATATATAACTAGAAAATTGACAGGTCCACAATAGCTTCTCAGAAACAACAGGGGGGTGGATGGTGGAATCAGATGTATATTAGAATTCATCTAGTTAGGGGAATTCTAAAGTGATCCTATGTGGTGAGTCTGACACAGTACCTAACATCTTGCTAGGCTTTGTTCTCAAGGGAGAGCTCCCTTTCAGCTCCAGGATGGGGTGGATAATTTAATTCAAATCCTTCTGGTTATAGAAAAAAAAGGCACCTTGGAAAAGTCACCCAGTTGGAATAGGGATTGCAAGACAGCATGCCAGTTTTTAGATGGGAGAGGGTGCTGAGCCCATCTTCTCACCGCAGGGTGGCTGGTTTCCCAGACCACTTATCTCTACTACTGTCACCTTCCACCCCAGTGATACTGCAACAGGTCATCTCGACAGATGGCTGGCAGGCGGTGGACAAAGGGGTTGCCAAGAGTCGTAGGGGTAAGGGATACTGGCTCAAATTTGTTTAGCACTTAAGGAACTCTGAATTTATGGGTGCGTTTGGAGAGGAGGGCGAGCAGGATGCAGGGGAGGCGGCCACAGACCCACGCACAGATGCTGGGAAGGGCCCCTGAGATGGACTCTGGACCAAGAAGGGCCAGGGCCACGGAGTAGGAAAGTTTCCCGGGGTAAGTGGAGTACTCAGGGCTGCTGGCTGCCTGTCTGCTGTTTCTCATGGATGCCCAGCGTGTGTTGACAAATCAGACAAAAGGCCACTATGGCCGCTTGTCACCCACTGTGTGCACAGGAGACACCATCTCCCTGCCCGTGCCCAGCAAAGCCAAGCTACGGAGGGTCCGGTACCGGAACTCGCCTGGTCCACCCCCGCCTATGCTCCCGCCTCGTTCGTTCTTCCCCGACAGACAAACCAGGAGCACAAGGGAGAAATAAAGGACTGGCGTTTTGTTTTGTCACTTTTGTTGCGTATCTAAGGACTCTGAAGACAAAACTGCTTTCACAGTTTCAAGCAAATGCAGAGGTGTTACTGTCACACCAGCTGTTCCCAGAGGATGGTGCGGTAAAGGGTCGCAGCGAAGTCTCCCGGCTTCTTGTGGCCACGGTCATTCGGGCCACAGCACTTTGGTCCATGGCCTTGGGACATGCGGTGGTGGGCCAAGAGCATGGCAACGCTCCGAAGGGTCCCGGCCCTCAGGGTCTCAGACTCCACTTGTGGGTTCCTGAGCGAGGCGACTCCACCTCGGGAATCTGCGGGGGCGGCTGCCTCTCCCATGGGCGCCTCTGGCTCCTTGTGAGTCACTGACATCAGATCCGCGGAGACTAGCTCTGCATCCCGCCGCAAGGTGCTCAGGTTATCTCACCTCTTCAGGCCTCCAGAAGGTGTCCGTTTCAACAGTTTCAGTGCAGAAGACCGCAGGGACTTGACCGCCTTTACCAGTTAAGTTTTGCCGGTCCGGAAAGAACTCACACAAACCTGGAAAGAAAGGAAGCGGCCAGGGTTGCAGAGTCCGCAGAGCTTAGGGCTGACTGTGTCTGGGACCCTGGCATCTGGCCCACAGAATCCTGGGCCCTCTGTTCACAGCAAGGGAAGGGCTGAGCTGTCGTGCCCCTCCCACACCAGGAGACGGAGTATCTGGGACTGGGAAGTCCCATCCCAAGGGGTTTAATGCTCCCCTGGCCTCTTTGGGTGATGACATTAATCCTACAAGATAACTGCATCAGAAGACCTAATAATACTAATATAAAAACCAATCATCTCGGATGAAATTATCCAGGGTCAACCTCTGTTCATGAAAAATTGGATTAGGGTTGAAAATAAAAACTACTAGTACACTTGAAGAGAAAAAATTGGGGGACACTGGGTTATAGACAGTCCCAAATCATACTGCTAGTGTTGGAAAAGAGACTGAAACCCTGGTCTCCAAGCAGAGGATGCTTTGGGGTGGGGGAGGTTGGGAGAATGCCAAAGGATGAGTTGTGATGTGAAGGAGGGGATGGGGAAGGTGACCCTGTTCTTAAATTGCACTTCCGCTTTCTCCAGGCTCTCTTCTCCTGGTGAACTGTTCAGTTCAAAGGACTTTGGACTGTGTTCAGACCAGTGTAACCACAAGGAGTTCCAGAAACAGACTACTTGGATAAAGAGGCAGTTCCATCCCCTTCTGATTAAGCAGGTTATCTCACCTCTTCGGGCTTCCTTTTGTCATCTCTGAAATGACAATTAACTCTCATTACAAAGTAGCTTTCATGAGTATATTCATTAATAAAAGTGAATAATTAGGATTACCTGGCAGAAATTAATTTGTTCAATATTATGATTATTATGGATAGAATTATAATCTTAATGAGAACAAATGTTAAATACTGCCTTTTTGGAAAGTATTCTTTCTCTAAATGGATTATTTTTTCCTTAGCACATTATAGCAATGGTATATTGCATTGTAATACATCTTTCATCCGTCAAACAGCCTGTTGACAAAACACCTTATAGATTTCAATTAGATATTTATCTTACTGTAATAAA